TCGAGTTCGGTTCGAATTTCGAACCGAACTCGAACTCGGGCAAAAGTCCGGTTCGGTTCAGTTCATAGGAACACTAGCAAGAGACTGCAGAAGAGGCTGGAGATCAGTGCGATCGTTATCAGCAGGGCATGTGAAATCTCCTAAGAATTCAAGATGGTGACCTTGGATCCACCATTGTTCGTGAACATCGACTTGCTGCAATACTTGATCAGCAGCTAGGCGTTCACTGATGACATATGAACATGGAAGTCCCATTATGGAACTGAAGATTTCCATGCAAGGATCTAAAGGTGAGTTTAGAGTTGCACTTGATGCCTTGATCCACTCGTCACGAATCTTCTTCAAGGCAAAAGCGGATATACGATATAGGAGAGGTTCAAACAGAATGATTCAGTACACATGTCCTACTTTCATACGCTCAGAAGAGATCATCGCACGAATTTCTCTTGCCTGAGATTCTACTTCTGATATGATTTTGCGGTGCACTGACTCGAGATCACCTGTGGATGACTGCAAACACCTTTTAAGAGTGGCATGTGCATCTTTCACTCGTGAAGTCACCTTGTTATCAAGATGCAAGTAACGATCAGCCCAGGCAGAAATGAAGCACTCCTAATGTGGCATCCAGGTCTCTTGGAGATATCGCAGAACATCGGGTTTGCTCTCGTAACACTCCAAAAATTCATTCCATTGGGTTGTGAAGTCTTGCTCAGTGACAGACGCCATAATCACTTGCCACATTCCCATAAACTCAGTCCAATGCTTTTCCGTATCAAAATGGTGTTTACATTTGGCCAAAATATTCTTATTTATGTGCCAAATGCATAAAAGATGTTTAGTACCGGGAAAGACTGTACCAATAGGTCTCATCAGTGCCAATTCTTGATCAGTGACAATGACACTAGGGTGAGATAATCTGTTAAAGATCCTTAAAGCACAAGTCAAAGCCCATTCGTAACTCTCTTCTGTTTCGTCACTCAGAAAAGCAAAGCAGAAAAAGAACGACATGTTAAAGCTTGTTATACCAACAACATTCAGCAGAGACATCTGATATCTGTTCGTCTTGTACGTACAATTCAAAAGTAATGCAGTATGATAGGTGCGAGTCAAGGCAATGGATATTCTATGCACAAAAAAAAGATGTGTGATTCGATCTTGGTGATCATAATGATATTCAAACTCGAAGTCAGATTCTTGCAATTCTTCGAGAAGGACCTGGATCAGTGTACGACCATCAAGTCTTTCTTGACAAATGAAGAACAAAGCATTGTAGATTGTTCTGAATATGACCATAGAAGAAGGATCACTCTGCCGAATGGTTGACAAAATTTAACGAGGATGGGAACCAGCAGCAAACATTTGTCAAACTTGCTCTTGTTGCTCGGTGTTCAACCTGTGAGTGATTGGATGACCAGACATATCCTCTGATGCTTCATGATTGTGCTCAGAATTTCGAATCTCAAGAAACCAAGCACTATTGCATCTGGTTCCAAAAAGCTCAAATGGACAATCCAAAAGTCTTGAAGCTGTCTGCCTATGATGTGAATCAATCGTCAGATTCAATCTGTTCCTGTAAGAGCCACCTCTGTCGCAGCGCAATGTCACATTCTTGATTTTGTCCTATCTATCAGTTCGTGATCTCTTTACGGTTACAGCATATTCTTGAGTTATAGCAAAGGCTCAGACATGAGCAAGAAGCTCATCACAGCTTGCAAATTGACCAGATGGAGGTGAAAGCATACGTGAATATTACGATAATTTTTTTAACGCAAAACAAAACTTCAATCCTTAAAGAATTATTGAATGGGAATTATTGCAAATATTCAATAAAAAAATAAGTTTATTAAATTTTATTTGAAGGGCTTTATTTTCGTTCGTGGTATTAAGCATAATCTGTCCTATATATATTTTTACATCTGTTTTATTTATACAATTATTGTTGAATTACTTCCTGACATTCTTTGTTCATTTGATCGATTAGAATAATTATTGTGTGAAATCTCCAAGAAGTGGCTATTATAGAAAGACTTGTTTTTTTTTGTTCATTTGATCGATTAGAATTATTATTGCGTAAACAAGAAGTGATTATTATGGAAAGACTTGTTTTTTTGTTTATTTGATCGATTAGAATAATTATTGCATGAAACCTCCAAGAAGCGATTATTATGGAAAGACTTGTTTTTTTTGTTTATTTGATCGATTAGAATAATTATTACGTGAAATCTCCAAGAAGCGGCTATTATGGAAAGACTTGCATGTGATGGAATCATGTGAACATATGATCTCGAACATGTGACTATGGTCTGGTTTTGAACTAATCCAAACTGATCCATTTCTAATCACGTGGTGGGGTGACAATAGCAAAAGTGGGGGGTGACAATAACAATACTCTAAATTTTAATGTATAATTTCATAATTCTATTAATCATTATATATTTATTTCAAATTTTTTAAATTTAATCTGAGAAAGTTTTTCTAATTGCAAAATAATTTAATTAGTTTTATATTTTAATTATAAAAAATTAATTAAAAAATTTTCTCAAATTAAATTTAAAAAATTATATATTAAAATATGAATTATTATTTGTATAAAAATAAAAAATATTGATTAGTAAAATTGAAAATTTTTATATAAATAAATTTAACATTGTTTCATTTTTTTATAAGTTACTATATAAAAAAAATTAACAATATTTAAATATAAAAATTATACTTTTTTTAAAAGTTTTAATTATATTATAAAATTAATTATTTAAGAAATCATTTTATTAACAATTATAATATTAAAAATTGGTTTATTTTATGAAATTAAATTATTTTTTATTAAGATTATTTATTTATTTATTATAATTATTTTAAATAAATATAAATAAAAAAATTCTTTTTTGAAAATCTAAATTTCATAAAAATTTATTCTTATATTATAAGTTATATTTTTTGTAGAAAATTTCAATTACAAGATTATTTGCAAAAGAATAATTGGTTTATTAAAAAATTAAATCAAAAAGTTCTATAAAAGAAAAAAGATACTTTATACAATTCTTTATAGTAATCCTATTGAATATTATGTGAAAAATAATATTATTACTTGAACAACAAAAATGTTAATCCAAAAGTTAATACAATAATAATATTGTAAGAATGAATGGATCAATAATTTTTATTTTAACATCTTTGCCTGATACAAAAAAGAAAGTGATGGTGACGTGATGAAAATGAATGAATTGCAATAAACAAAAGGAGGGAAATAAAATTATATATATATATATATACTGTTATATATAAAGGTTAAGAATACAAATATTCCACAATCGACTATATTATATAAATTAAATTAAACTACAAATTCCCGATCGAAACCCTCCTCACAACTTTTCTTGAAAATGACTAAGAATGTCCAGTTCATTCTCTTTTACTATAGTCCCCATAGGTAATAATAATATTTATAATAAATAATAAGTAATAAATAATAAACGCAAATAAAGGAATCTATCCTTATAAAATTACAATTATTTCATTCCCTAACTAACCTAACTAAAAAGTTGTAGTCAATCCTATATTGACTGATGATTTTATTCTTGATAAAGATAACTGATAAATCTGTAATTATTGTCCCGATAATTTTATCCGAGAAAGAAAAATGGCCCAATGATTTATGTATGTATAAATCAATGATGGCATAAATCTTTAAAAAACAATAATTATGATTTGATTTAGTTATTCAAGATGCTATTTGTGCTTTTTCGATACGAGCTAACCAATTTAATTTGCCAGATATTTCTGCTTTCATTTTTCCTACTTGTTCTACATTTTCCGAAGTCTTCTTACTTGACATCTCAATTTCTCGTCTCATTTTTTCTATCTCAATTAAGAATTTTGCCGCATATTTTTCTTGATTTTGTTTCAACTTATTATGAGTAGTTTCCAAGGTTTCCACATCCGGATTATGACTGGATGTTAATTCTTCAATACGGACACCAGTCGTTAATATAACATCTTCCATTTGCTGAGCTTTCTTGTTTAATTGTTCTCGAAGCACCAGAAAATCTTTTTTCACGATATTCACATCTTCTGCGTATCGTCGTTTGAAATTTTGCATCTCCTTTGATAAGAGAAGATATTCGTGTTCAGCTTGATCTTTTCCGGCGAGAGCATCTGCCAGTTTTCGCTCTAGGGATGACACTTTTAGTTCTGATTGTCGAAGTTTAGTATTTGCGTTATCACGTTCAAACTTCATATCTAGTTGCTTTTTATCAATATCTTTGGCTACACCTTCCATCTCCTTTATTTTATTTTCTTTTCGTTCAAGCATTCGTTTCAACGACTCAATTTCTGCACGAAAAGTTTCATGTGAGTTTAAATGTTCGTGTAGCTGTCGTTCTGCTCGTTCACGTGAAACTTTATTAACTTGGATTTGTGTTTTTGCGTCGGCAAGTTCTTTTTTCAGGTGATCGATTTCATCGTGTAACTTTTCAATGACACGACCGGTTGGTCCTTCGTTGCCATTTTGTGAGCGACCTAATTGTTTTTGCACGGTCACTAGTATTGCATTTCTTTCGGCAAGATCATGACGCAAATTATGAACTTGTTGTTTTAGAATTGTGACAGTGTTGGAATCTTTATTGATTTAATATGTTATAATTTATTTACACGGGTGAATATAAACAAATAACATCGTCAGTTAAACATTCAAAAAATAAGGTGTCATTATTCAAATAAAACAGGTAAAAATTTAATTACCCGTCTCGCTAGACATGTCTGTGTGATTATCGACTGTCATAGATGACAGCTCAGTCAATTGGGGAGTTGGTAAATCGAGTTCCGGAAGAAAAGGGTTGTCGGTCAATTTTACAGCTGAGTCCTGAGTATTAGTTGTTGTTTCGAGCGTGGGGGTGTTTTCTATTTTTTGAGTTTTATGCAAAGATAAAGGAAGAGAAGATGCAGCAGCTATTAAAGCGGTTCTCGGAGAAGAGCTAGAAGAATGAGGTGACGACGACGAAGGAGGACCTGACGATTTCGACAATCGCCGCCAAAAACTTTCAATACGCAGCACGGTGGTGAAAAAATAATAGGAGATTGTTGTTGTGTAGAATATGTATCTTGTGTATATTTATATAGTTTAACAAAGGGGCAGCAGGCAATGAGTACAAAGTAAATATATACTAGCTATTTAAAATAGGTTAGTTTCAAAATACAATTTTTCTTATTGACAGAAGGAAGACATTGGTGTGTGGTTATTTAGAACCTAAAAAAAACCCACAAAACAAACGAGCGTGCAAGTTGGACAAAAATGAAAGAAAATAATAAAAGTTATGGGTTGCATACTGTATGTATGCAATAGGAAATATTACTTGAACACAATAGCAAATTATTTATTGACTTGTAAATGAAATCTAATTCGCTGGAATAATATGAAATATTTCGCCATCATCACTATCAATCAGTATTTTATTTTGCCAAATTGCCTCCACTTTTCAGTAAAGACTATGGATAGCCAAGGCTTTATAAACGTGGCACGGAATTATTGCTCTCCCCACGAGCTATCCATCCAACTTCTAACCAAAGTTAGTAGGCTTTTTTTCTTTAATCTCGACAAAACAACAGTGGCCGTTCTCCTCTACTTTAACTTTTACCTCAACCTCGGAACGGATTACTTTTTTTATAAAACCAAGGAGTACTTCAATCGAAAATCTGCGGAAAGGGGAATTCTTGATTTTTGAACAAAAGTGATATTGAACCGTTTGAAAAGAAGATAGATGTCCCTTAGTAACATTATTGCCTCTGAACAAGGAAAAAACAAGGGAAAGCACGTATACTTCTCGACAAGTATAAGGAGGCAAGTACTTTTTCTTGGTTGGAAATGCTGGCAGGAAATGGGTGGCGTGGTGGGACCTTCTCGGTTCTTCAAGACTTTTTGTAGGGGCACAAGTGAACTTCTTGGTTGTTTGATGTCACAGACTTCTTGCCGACCCAGCATTGGTCCCATTGGGACACAGGTGTTGTCTGATGTTCAAGGCTTCTTGCTGACCTGATGGGATGAAATGAAAAATCAAATGGGAAATCAGGGACATATAGTCAATAATATTATCTAAACCAGATTGTATTCTTGCTCGAAATTGGGAAAAGAATCGTACATCTCGCAATGGAACTTCAATTAACTTTTATGGAGACTATCATAATATTGGGATAACGTCAAATGGAAAATATGCAACGAATATTCATATACTAAACGCAAGCGAAGTGCCTCAAAATCGAAGAAGAAAAAGTGAGAGAACAGTCACTGACTTCAAGGTTATTACACACACTGAACTGATTTATGACCTTCCTTAGGGACGATCATCCGAGATAGTGCTTAGACAGAAGAAACAGCGCGTTGCACTGAAAACACAACAGAGAAATCTAAGAGGCTAAGTAATATCAGTTACTTTGAAACTTAATGATTGACATTCTTTTTTTACAATATTTGATTCAGGTAAAAAGACAATCCACCCGATCCACAAATGATGTTGAAGAGACCATCGATAATAACGAAATCGAAGATGAGCATGAAATCAATGAGCTTACTGAGTTTGATCATGACTATCATAACCTAGACCCATCAAAAATGTGGACGCTGAAGAGTGGTACTGTTGTTGAGAAAGTAATTTATGAAACTTGACACACGAATCTTATTTGCATTCCTTTATCATTAATGGTGTTGATGTGGAAGTAAAATCATTATTTTCCGATGATGAATAGAAAGGAAGAGATTATTACTTCTGAAGTCAAGGCCAGGCCAAAACTTGAAAGTTCCCTTGTAGAATTGTTGAAAAGTGCACGGTTGACGATGTCGAGATGTTACGAAAAGTTCTTTCTGAACCGTTTTACCGAACGGAAGTGATTTCGATCTCGATTTGTCAATTACGCCTATCAAGGAATGTTGTTTTTGTGGCAGAAGAAAGAAAACCCTTTTGACTCTTCGAAGTTAGAGGGCTGGTACGGAATGAATGTTTAGGGTCGCTTGATTGACCCGGCTTTTGACAATCTGAACATTGATTTAGTGCAGGTATGAGTCTTGCATCAATCAATAGGAAGAACCTTAAAAGAGCAATAAATGATCGAACGAAGATTGGTTGAAAGGGGGAATGGAGTTTTCAGATTATACAAGGATCGTTTAGAATTTGGTGCTATATATGCAGGCCGAAAATGGGAAGAGCAAAATGGAACCAAATATATGTAAAATTGTTGAAGGATATGTTAAATCAGCTTGCCAACTGAGTGTGACATGAAAGATCTCGTGAGGAAATTACAAGTAGTCGGGATACTTAGTAGTGTTCCTATGAACCGAACCGAACTGAACCAGACTTTTGTCTGGATTCGAGTCTGGTTCGAAATTCGAACCGAACTCGAACCGGACTTTGGCTTGAGTTCAAGAAAGGTTTGAAGTTTGAACAGGACTCGAATCGAACCGTTATTCGAGTTCGAGTCTGGTTCGAGTTCGATCAGAGATCGATATATACTATCATATATCGATTTGTAGCCCTAAACTTGAGCTACAACTTTAATTATAAGTACAAATTATATTATTTAGTGAGAATTAAAAGTTTATGGAAACAACTAAAGTATTTTCATTTTTATAATTATTAAATTTTATCATAAATTCTATATAATTTTGAATATTAATTATTAATAGTAATTATCTTATACCAAATTGTAACTTTTATCTCTGGTTACAACTTTGCTTAAAATCATAGTTTATAGTTATTATACAAAAATAAATGTTTATTATAGTCAAATATCTTTATAGTTATACTTGTTTATAATTATAATCCTCTGTTTTGCTTTCCCATTTACATATTGTTGTATAATGAACTTTGATTGAATATTTTACTAGATCATTCATACTTAATATTATTGGATTATAAATAGGTGGCTGTTATTCATACCCTCCAAATTTGTTATTTGTATCCTTCACGTAAGAAAATTATCACAGATCACGTGAGCACATGATCTGTGATGCGGTTTTACTAGATGATTGATAGTTGTATTAACTTCTAATGTGTAACATACAATACAAAACAAGAAAAACTTGGTCTTTGACCACTAATTAAAAATGTTCAGAGAAAGAATTTCTCTTTTTATTTGCTAACTATATATGAAATTTCTAGTGATTTAATAGTACTAGCGTTCCCCTCTATTTGGGCAAGTTCGGGAATTGTGCCCAGGCTGTCGACAAAGAGCGCATTGTCTTGCTCTGTGCTCCACCAACTCAAATCCGGAAGGATCTCTTCTGGTTGAGTTAGTTTCTTGACGATTAGTGATACCAGAAGGACGTCCTTTTGTAGAAACTACTTTGGGATTCTGTAAAACCATTGCTGGAGTATTGATCATGCTGTTCAATGTTGTTCGTGTTGCTGATTGTTGAAACTCTGATCATTCTTGATATCTTTCTTGTAGATCCTGCAAGAGCGGTTGCAGTGTATCTTCGTGACAAAAATCATTTTTCCCGGCTTGCGATACCGACGAGTGATCTTGGATCCACCAATGCATATGAATATCATCAAGCGTTAAGCTCTGGTTTTCTTCGAGATGTTGAATGTAGTGTGCACAAGATAGTCCCATTGTTTTCGAGAAGGATCCAGTACATGAAGGTAAGAGTACTTGTGCAATCGAACGTTTTGCCTTTTGACTCTGCTCGTATATTTTTTTTAAAGCAAAAATTGAAACTTTACCTTTAATATTTGTATATAAAGGATTACTGAGCACAAAAACCGGAAGATGGATATGCTCTGATGCAACTGTGGCATCAATCTCTTTTTTTTGGTTGGTTATCATCAGAGAGATTGACGTGTGAACCCGGTGAAGATCTTCCGTCGATACTTGTAAGTATGCTTTAAGAGTTGAGTGCGCACCTTCAATGTGAGAGGTTACGGTTGTTCCTAGGTGGAGAAACGTGTTCATCCATGTTTTTACAAATCTCTTCTTCCATGGCATCCAAGTTTCTTCGAGATAGGTGGTAACAGAGGATTTACCAGCGTAATTAGAACAGAAATTTTCTCATTTTGCATTAAATTCGTCTTCCGTTATTGATTGAATAACTTCATTCCATTTCGCGACAAAGATCTGCCATTCACTGTTCTCGTTTCCTATTTCTTTCGGGAACTGCGGTCTGCAATTCTTTAAGATGTTCTTGCTGATATGCCATATACACAATAAATTTTTCGAATCAGGAAAAGTCGTCTCAAGAGCATTCATGAGCGCCAACTCTCTATCCGTAACGATAACACTAGGCTTTGACACTCCATTGAACAAACGAACAACACGAGTCAGGGCCCATTAATAATACATTTTTTCTTCGTCTTTCATAAAAATGAAGCAAGAATGAAAGATGATGTTGAAACTGGTAATACTGACAATATTTAACAAAGGCATTTTAAATTTGTTGGTTTTGTAAATACAATCCATAAGAAGGACGGAAGAATATTGACGAGTAAGGGCGATGGATTCATTATGCGCAAAGAAAAGGTAAATAACGCATCCCATGTCATCACATTCGTACTCATAAAAAAAATTGCCTTCTTTAAGCTCGTTTATGAGAGCTTGAATGGAAGTACGACCAGCCAGATTTTGTTGATGAAGCCGTTCGCGAGTATTGTAAATGTCTCTATTAGTAATTAAAGTCGATGCATCGTTCTGACAAAGGGTCGACACAATTTCTCGAGGACGTGAACCAGCAATAGTCATTGCTACAACACTTGCCACCTGTTGTTCTGTGAGTCGACGAGCAATTGGATGTCCCGACATGACTTCTGAATAATCGTGGTTATGGTTAGAGTTACGGACTTCCAGATACTATAAATCATTACGTCTAACAGCATACAATTCAAAGGGACAGTCAATCAGTCGGATGCTTTTTTATCTACGACGAGTTTCTTCAGTGAGACCCAAGGAATTTTTGTAAACACCACCTCGGTCACAACGCAAGGCTATATTTTTTAATTCGTCACAGTAATCTTTACGGATTCTTTTCTTTACCAATGCATAACCCTGAGAATTTGCAAATCTTTGAGCACTCTCAAAAAGTTCATCAGCACTATTGTATACTGCGTTTGGTGGATGCATGTTAATGATCCAAGATGTGTAAAATTTTATTTGGTCGAATATATGTTGGTGATTTTAATTTCGTCCATTACATCTTGGTTGATTAGTCGCTGGATGTTCGCAGTCCTTCAGAAAGTACTTTCACAATCGTCGTGTATGTGATCTTGCTATTGCTATAAGAATAGATAGCTAATTATAGGTGGGTGGGTTAGTGTGATAAAGCAATTATGTGGTGACAATGTATATAATAATAGAGTAATTATTTTTAATCAAATCTATTTGATCCCTTTTTTTATTTGTTCTTTTATATATAATTTATTGTAGTTTAC